AGGATGCAGGATGAACACATGGTCATGACAATATCCACTTGCATCCAGGCAGCTAATGGATACCAGGGTCATGCCAATCTTAGGTGTATGCAGGACATCCTTCAAGAGGATATGAGTGGGTGAGCTGCCATTTGGTAGGGATATGTAGACATCTCCTTTTCCAATGGCTTCAAAGGTTCATTTGTCTGCTGCAGTAATGGGTTTAGGAGTAATGGGCTTATAGTTGACAAGTTATCCTTGTATGATGACATGTGATGAGAGGCTCCAGAGTCATATAGAGTAGTGTAGCTCGGTGGTCTTGCATACACACTAGTAGTGAATGTCTCTGGGGATGGTTGAGCTTCATCAACCTCAGCTTCATAGCTGTTGTTGATATGTGTGAGCCATACCCCATCTGGGTCACTGCTGCTGTCATCCTTGGCCACTGCTGCATGCTCTTTTTGCTTCCCTTTGTTCAGAGACTTCCCTCCACTTTGTGAGTCATCCCCACTTGACCTGCATTCATGAGCTCAGTGCCCATGTTTTCCACATTTGTAGCAAGTTCCAGCAAACTTCTTCTGCTTTCCTCCAGCTGAGTATGCTGCATCATCTGCATCACTAGACTTCTTCTGCTTTGTGGCATGACAGTCATACTCATCTTGTACTGCATCCATGAGAGTTGCAGTTGTTAGGGTAGTGGAGGTGGAAACTTTTGCAAGTGCAGACATTGCTCCAACAACAGAGTCATAAGAGCTTGGGAGGGATGTCATGACCATAGCCATGTAGCTTTCATCTGTCAGGGCTTGGCCCATTGAGGCAAGTTGTTCATGTATTTGCCACATTTTGTCAAAGTGTTCCCTGATGTTTCCTTTCTCTGTCATTTTATAGTTTGGAGCTTCTTCAGCAGTTTGACCAATACAACACAAGAATGCTTCTCAAAGAGGTTGGATAGGTTTGTCCAGATGTCAAGTGCAGTAGTGAGACTCTTTATTTGGATGAATAGTGTGTCAGGGATTGTTCCAGCAATTTGTTGCTTGACAATGGCTTGGCCAAGCCTCCATTCTTTTAGGGTAGCTTGGTAGTTCATCACTTCCTTTTTCTCCTCTGCAGAGATAGGTATCCAGCTCTCACTCCAGTTTGGTAGTGTCTTGGGGTCTGTCAAGTATGGGTTTACCCTCAGGTGACCAGGCTTCAAGACCAGGTGACAGGGGCTAAGTCTGAGTGGCCAAAGTCAAGGCCAGGAGACAGGGGCCAAGTCCAGTTGGACTGGAGTTGAGGCCAGAGGTTAGGGGCTAAGTCCAGAGGACCAGACTTAAGGCCAGGAGCATGAGAATAAGACCGGTAGTGTGGGAAACCAACCGGTGTTGGAATGCACACAGGGGGAAGCCAGTCCAGGGTTGGATCTACCTCCCCTGGTCTCAGCTTATGTGCTGTACCCTTATGCAAGCTGGGGATAGCTTAAGGCTCAGCCTTAGCTATAGAGTAGACTCGGGGTGTAGTACAGAGTTGAGGGTAATACTAAATCGATATTCTGACTGAGGTGCTACAAAGTATGTACAGGGGTTAAATATGTGAGGCCAGTCTGGGATAATGAACATAGAGCCAGACTTGTTAATAAGCTATTAGCAAGAAGATTAGCAAGAGAGTGGATAGCCACAGTGGCTGTGCTGAGGCTAATAGCCAAAGTCTGGGTGACCAGCATACTGGGGTCAGACACAGGATTTGTACAGTAAGCAAAGTCAGACAAAAGGCCCAACTAAATATAGTACAGACAAAGGAAAACAGACCAGAGTTATGTCCAGGTCACCCAGACATAGACCTGGGAGGACCAGGGTGGAGCAGCACAAGGCTGGAAGGCCAGAATGGACTGGAGATAGGGGTAAAAGACCAGACTTGAGTTATTCAGGCTGGAGTTGGGTTATCTAGGACCAGAGTTGGGTTTTCTAGGCTGGACTAGGACCAGGCTTGACCGGAGATAGGGGCTAGGGGTCCAGACTGGACTGGGACTGAGTCTGAGAGTCATGGATATGACAGAGTCAACTGGCATTGTCTCAGTACCATCTATGTACCTGAGCAGCCCACAAGTGTCCAAAGACCACATTAGCCTGTCCTTGTATGTTACCCAGTTCTCTCCATCTGCTGAGAGCTTTGGGACCTTAAGGAAATCATCTCTGAGCTTGGATTTGAATGACATGTTGCTACAAGTTCCCAGTTAGTGAGCAACAGGGCTCATAACCTGTAGAATATATACTACAGGACTATTAGCTGAGTGTAAAGATGGGATGTAGAAAGTGCTCACCTCAGTTGGGTTAAGTAGCCAACTGAGGTGTGAGTATGCTACTTGAGTATGAAAATGAATGTGATTATGTAATATGGCTAAATGCGTACCATAATACTAAGTGGGATGCAGATAAAAGTATAATATGAAAGACAGAATATACAACAATTGGGAGACATATGCAATAGTTGTTGTACTTGCAGCTTGTAGTATCCATTTTTACCTTTACATTTGTTGCAATACCATCCACATTTTGGTTCTCAAAGTCTACCTCTGAAGACTGGAACTCAAAAAGAAGTGCATTTTGGATTGTATGGGTAGCATAATGTAGAGGGAAATGATGGTATATAAATGCTAATCCACAATGAACTCTCCCCTTTGTACTTGTTCAGCAATGTAACTATTCCAAATGCTTTGCACAATTGCACCCCACCTCTCCAACATCCAAAGGCATTCTGTGGCAGTTGGAACACCATCGGCAATCACACTGATCACCTCCTCTGACTCATCTGGCAGCAGAGGTGATATGAAGCCTTTGATGTCATCTAATTCCAATGGGTCATACATGCAGATGATGTTGTGAATACAACACAAAGTGGGAGGGATATGGGCCTGGATGTCCATGCCATACTCTGCAGGCATGACAAGAATTTGGAAGTGCTGTTTGATGACTCTGATTATCCATTCAATCACATTTTGAAGCTGCATGTGGCAAAGGTTATAGCATTCCTCAGCGTTTACTGATCTGTAAATTCCAATGAATTATGAGTAAATAAAAACATCGATGAAAATACTTACCATTCATGTGCACAGCCCCATTCTGCAAGATGGTATTGTTGCCCTCAGAATGGAGTCAGGAGTTGGGGGCAATTGGGGAACCCTGCATTGGCAAGGTAGTACTTGCCATCCAGAATAGTGAGATTGCTCAGCTGCACATCATGATAGACCAATGAGTCAGCCACAGACCCCTCCCACCTGCTAAGGACATATGTGAAGTGCATATCAAAATCACAGCAGAGCAGGAAATTCTGGGAGGTGAAACCTTTGTGATTTTGCATTGCATCCCTTTCCTCCAAACTGGGAGCACATGTGATGTGCATCCTGTCAATTGCACCAATAGTGTTGGTGAAAAAAGGGAAAAATTTGGGGTTATTGTGAATAGTTGGGTGGATGGGGGCATCACTGCATGGCAATTGTATGTACTTGCTGTATATATCATGAGACGAGAATGTGAACAGAATTTTTTTGAAGTACCTGGAATGATGATTAATCCACCAAAAATGGCATGGTCAAAGACTTACTTGGAGATCGTGCCATTTGACCTTTGAAAATGTTCACCTACATGTCTGATGGACAAACCAGTGACAGAGGTATATAGAAAAATCATGAGTTGCTCTTTGAGCATGACATGTTTGGAAGGACCAATTCCATGCTGTTGGAGCTCCCACAATAAGATGTCAAATATGTGCTTGTGAACTGTGAGTTCTGTATGAATTCGCTCAGGATGGCTGTTCAACAATTTGGCTACCCACCCACTCCCAGTCAGGATCAACATGTGGTATGGGATCAGGTCAGCACACCACATCACTTCCACGATGGCCTGTAGAGCATCTGCCAACATGAGTAGCAGGGATAAGAGTTGGAGGTGATGGTGGATGAGGATAAGAATGCAGAGTTTGCAGCATCAATAGTGGTCATCATTGATGTTGATGCACCTTTCCTCAATCTCATTGTCTGCAGCATCAGGAGGATCCCCACCCATCAGGTTCCTAGTTACACCTGACTCGTCAGCCATGATAGTTGTGTTGCAGTTATCGATATCACCTATGTCTCCTCCTAAATTGGAGCTCCACTTGAACTCTGTATGCTTATGTCATGAAGGCCTCAGACTTTTTTTTGGTTTTTTCACCTGGATTCTTTGTGGGACTTTGTTACCAAACTAGCTCTTAGAACTTATGCTCATTGCAGCATGCAGAGCTACAGTTGTCACACATCATTATCAAATGAAAAGCATTCAAGGGGGGCAAGTTCCAGAGGAAGTCTCAGCAGTTTAATAGAGGTGACATTGCTCTTTTGCCCCAGGAAAATGTGTTGTGTACATTTGCCAAATGCATCCAGAAGTGCCTGGAGGGCTTTGGTATCTTACAATGTCATCTTTTTGCTATTTTTGTGATGTTCTGATTCGTACTTGCTCACCTCAGCATCGTCGAACATGTCGCCAGCTCGTCTCGATCGACCACTACCAGTGTACGTCTTTCGCGTGAGTGAAACTGAAATTGACAGGTAAAATGCTGTCCAATTCACCTCGCGTTCCTCGCTCGGAGCGAAAAAAAACTTCCGTGGCCTCCGTTCAAGTTTTCCCTCGGAACCTAGTTCGCCACTGGGAGTTACATGTCAGGACCGATCTCCCATCTATCTGCCAATCGAAGGGGAAAACTGACAACTTTGGAATGCATAAATACTGGCCAGGACAGCACTAATCCGCCAGACCTTTCGAATCCTCTCACCTTATGTGCATCAATAATTGCGTCTCCTCCCGGTCTGAAAGTGCTACTCGTTTTCTGCGACGGTACCGATGCGGATGGAAATCTCACAGGTACTGAAGGTGTGCCGGGTTTCCCCGTCGTTGACATAGTAGGTCTGGCGTCTGTTTTGTCGCACCAGTACATGCCCTATGCCAGTTTGCTATCAACGTTCTGCGTTTTGTAAGCCACCTCTGACAATCAGAGAAACTCGGCTTATACAAATACTCATGCCCATGTCAGTGTGAGCCGTCCAACAGACCTCTGTGCATGTTGCTGCTCATTTCAACTAGCTAAAAAAAGATCCCAGTGGTAATAACCCGAAGCGTCAAATAGTCCTTTACATGGGTGGGGTCGGCTCTGAATCCGATTGACACCGCGAGAGCCCGACTACACTCAGACTTGCTGTACATTTGTTATGAAAGCTCAAAGAAACATCGTGTTTGAGAAAAGCCGGAAATTATACGACAAGTGTACGAAGTTGCATGGTCACCGGGAAAGATCTCATGACCGCTTTGCGCGTACTGCTCACAGGACGCTGACACTTCCTGTATGGCCGCCCAAGGTGGAGACATCGTACCATGAAGAGTAGCAGAACCGAAAGCATGACAATGCCACCTCCTCACCTAGCTCACAGCTTTTGGGAACCAAGAGTTGCCTAGAGCATTCTGATTAAGTTTTGGAAAATTTAGCATTTAAATCAACACACACAATGTCAATCAGAAAATGTATGTCTGTGAATAGCCCTTTGCGAGGTCTTTGAAGGCAAGAAATCGCCGAAAAGCAAGCTGCCTATATGCTGGGGTCTCCATGCCTCCATCGGATTGGTAATTGTGCCGCAAGGAAGTGACGCACTTCACAACCTCAGTTGGAGCTTTGGGGTACTGGCCAGTCACAACTGCATTGCTAAGCGCTTCGGTGACAGGAACCAAGTAGAAGGTTGGTCGTGTACCATCCATAGTGATGCATGGAATAGTCATGGCATCAAGGAGTGGGAGTTCTCTGGTCTGCCGTTGCTCGTTATTGTACTGGTACGCAGCAATTGCCTTTGCGATGACTTGTGGTTCAGGGTGAGTTGAACCAAACATTGTTTTGTCACCTTGCAAAACAAGCAAGACCATCGATTGTCGATTGAGTAAACAGGCATCCATTTGTGCAGTTTGGCGATGATCGCCACAGATTGTCAACGGGATAATGTGGCGACCACAGACTATTGCGTTCCGTTCTTCAAAACCCAATAAGAGGAGGGTCTCATAATAGAAGTCGTCCATGAAGCATTCTTGACCGCCATAGGTGGCCCAGTCAAGGCGTGAGAGATATCGGACAGTGCGGTCTGGGAGACCCGATTCTGCACCAATAGTGGAGTTAACGAGGGAGGGGTCTAAGTTTGCCAATGATGCTTCAGAGTTTCGAAGGAAGAATTCTCGAAATGACTGGGTTTTAACGGTGATATTGTATGCCATCAAGTCGTAGGTGGTCCAATCGCTGCCCGACTTTGGAAGTCGGATAAGATTAGCCATTTAGCAATCCTGTCTTTCAGCAAAGTAAGAGGGCAGCCAAAAACCTAGAGTACTACCTTTCTCTCACCTATGATAATTTCGCTTTTACTTAGAAGAGGTCAAGCGTAAAGGAGCAATGGTTACAAGATGGACGGAATATACTGATATCAAGCTCTGCTTCGTAAGTGTCAACGTCATGAAGCTTCGCTTACTCAGCCGCCCGGACATGATGTCACGTGACATACAAGCGGCATCTTGTGAACACTAGTGTTGTTTCAAACGTGTCTTCTGAGCAGTATTCTGCCGGTCAGTGTACACAGGTCACGGTCAAATAACCGTGACGCGTGGAAAAGTCAGTGAATTTCACTGAGAGTTGACTTAAATGTGACTTTCAGCGGTTTCTTGGGTCATTTACTTTGGGTAGCAACTGCTGAGGCTGTGCTCATTTGTCAGCCAGTCACGTGTGCGTGGACACTGATTATGTCTAAAGATGTTCACCCATGTAAGGTGGACTTCTGGCACTGCAAATGTTCAGTTCATTTGCGTTCGTGTGAAAGTTCACTGGCAAACATTCAGTAACTAGTGTGAGCATTCACTGACTGGCAGAACACTGCTTCTGAGTCTGACATACACATGTTTTGTACAATGCAGCCCTTGTTATCTTAGGCCCTGGGCTCACAGATGCCTGCTCAAACTGTCTGTCATCTCTGGCCAAGCTGCAACTTGTCTATTGTTTTTGTATAATAAAAAGATGTATGCACATGTACTACCGGATGCTGACTAACCATGCAAAAATGCGTACTATGGAGCAAAAACACAGTAGTCATAAGTCAGAAAGGAAAACAACAAAAAGAAAGCACATAAACTATACACCATTTGAAAGGTCTCATCGAGTAGTACCTTATTCTGAAAAAGAGAAGTACGGCAGCGAAACGGGCGAGCTATTCTGCACGAACCTGTGAGGTATCACCTGGGGGAGGGAGGGGAGACCCTCGAACAACAACAGCTGGGGTAATCAACACCAAACTATGGTAGATGGTAGGGCACCGGCAGACGTTCACGGAGAAAAAGGAACCACACCGCTTCAACCACCCAATCCAGAGCTATATCCAAAGTTGCCTCAATACGCAAACAGGCATATCTCGACAATAGTTGCACAGAACTGGATGACCAAGGTATTCCCAGGAAGGGTTAAGCAAGGGGGACGAACTGCCCAAAAACCAAGGGGAACGGCGGGGAAACGTGTGAGATACAATCTCGAGTCCTCAAAGGTGGTGATTGGAGAGTCGCCTGAACGACGACTGGGAGGATCAGCACAAAACACTGGGCGATGGTAGGAATACCTGGATGAGTGCGGATGGCACACATATGAAGTACATCACCTGTTTATTTGTCCATTCGTTCAATGTCTGTGTCGAGAACCCCCAGTGAACAAAGCCATCTTCGGGAGTCATACCTGCCTGGCAACAGTTTCCTTGCTATTTACTACTGCTGAATAGGCAGAAGTACGACCAAAGCGCCGTACGAGGACGTCCCGGATCAGACTGAGATCTGAGAGAGCAATGAACGTTCAACGATGACAATCTATTTCAAACTGTTTCGCTTGACCTTTTGACTCGATGTTCGGCGCAGCGTATACGAAGTCGAAAGTGGCCTCAGTAGTTACTGGGCTCAGTTGTTTCCCGTATCAAATCGGAACAGAAGCCAACGCAGTCAGGTCAACCACGCTACACAGCAGAACGTAAAATATATCGTGTGTATACTTTTTTTAGTGGGATACTGCCAGTATACGAAATAAGGGCCCGAACGGTAGTGGAATTTCCGCTTCCTTATGCAAAACATATACAAACCAACTCTGTGCGGAGTTCAGCGGACTTCTAAGTTGACACTCAGCTGTGGTCACACAGTAATCAATCTCATATGCCACTATGCCATCGAGACTATTGCTATGGTCGAGAATTGCCTTATCACCATGAGGGATGAGAACAATTTGGATGAGGAAGACAAAGATTCTGATACCTCATCTGATATCACTCAGAGGGTGCTAGTCATGCAGCAGATTTGGAACTATGCAGTGGTTGCTGCTACACTCAGTCTATACCAGGCTGCAGTCTCAACACTTCGAAGCACTACCCCAGAACCTTACCATATGTCTGCTCTTTCAGGACAGGGATGGCTAAATGAGTTGCTTAATGGGCACCCCAAGTGGATCAGAACTGAGCTTGGTGTCCACAAACATATCTTCCTCAGGCTGATATCCATCCTTTGTGAAGGGGATCTCCAAGATTTGAAGAACATCATGTTGGAGGAGCAGCTGGCAATTTCCCTGTATGCAATGGTGACAGGCTTATCAGCTTGGCACATTGGTGAGTGATTCCAATGCTTGATGGATACAATATCACAGCAAGTGCACTGTCATTTGAATTGAAATTCTGCTAAGCTTTACCCAGGTATTTTAAACAAATGCTCCACACATTCTCCAAGGGTTGCATTTATACCACATATGTTTGCCTTCCCAGAGCCAATTCACCAGTCCCCAGTTGTATCACCACCAATCCCAAACTTTATCTGTACTTCAAAGATGCCATAGGTGCCCTCAATGGTACACACATTGCATGTGCACCATCTGCAAGTGAACAAGACCTTATGCACAACTGCAAGGGTTTCTTATCTCAAAACTGTCTCGTTGCATGTTCATTCAATGGTATCATTACATACATTCTCAGAGGCTGGGAAGGGTTGGCTGCTGATGCCATGGTCTACCACAATGCCTGCTTGCAGGACTTTGCTATTCCTGATGGGCAGTATTACCATGCTGATGTGGGGTATCTGTTGACTCCACAGCTACTTGTACTGTACTGCAGCCAATGCTATCATTTGGCTGAGTGGGGGCAAGCCAATCTACAGTAAGTACCATTACATTTTATGTGTGTTTGATTCTCATTCATTCCCTACAGGCTGAGGGATGGCAAAGAGCTTTTCAACCTTCACCATGCCATGCTTTGAAACAACATTGAGCATAACTTCAGAGTTATAAAGTGACATTTTCAAACCCTTGTTCTCCCACCCAAATATGACATGGCAATCCAGTCCCACTTGCCTGTGGTGGTGTGCTGTGTTCACAATATCATCTGCCTCCACAATCCTGATGATGTTGACATGCCAGATCCTGATGAATTCAATGAAGATGATGGGCCACTTTTAACATCTGAAGAAATGGACATCAGAAGCTTGCAAGATACTCTGTTGAACACTGGGTCACATAGTCAGATGAATGCCATGTGTGATGTGATTGCAGTGCAAATGTGGGAAGATTATCACACTGAGCTCGCAAGAAGGGGTTGATTCAGTAGTTCAGTAGCTAGTTTTGCATTATATCCATGTATCCACTATGTTGCCCTCAAATTTCATGCATATATCTTATTTGCCCTCAATTTTCATGCTTGCATGGCAATTTGGAACAGCCATGATTGCAGTATAGATGCACAAGTACAGATGAACTACTTATTTCCCCCCCAAATTCGCATATTCTGGAACCTTGTAGCCAGCAGCCTCGAGCCTCATCTTAACTGACAACATTCAGTATGTTGCTGACTGAGTGGTGGCATTCTTGTAACCTGCAACATAGGAGGATTTCTCTTCAAACAACATTTGCAAGTGGACCAGGTTCTGCTCCAAAAGGTTCTTCTCAAGCTCAAACATCAACACACATGCTTCATCGAGACTTCAGCCCTTGGGATTGTTGAGGGCAGCAAGCATCTTGGAGGTACTGTCTTGCACACTGGACATTAGATCCCACACCACATCTTCAAGGCCAGCTGTCTGCAAGTGCTGCTTCTGAGAACTGCTAGAACTTCCCAGAGAAGCCACTGAGGATGTGGTGTCAAGTCTGGCAGTGGTGTCACTTTTGCACTTCTTGCCATGAGATGACAAACTAGATGACAGATTGATGGAAGTGCTTACTGATGTCATTGTGGAAGACAGTGGTGATGTAGGAATGGACAAAGGGGAAACTGTGGGGCCAGGCATGGATACAGGTGGAACACTGGACAGGGCCTGTGAAATACCCTGTGGTACAGGTGTACCTTGAATGTTTATGGCAGGCTGCACACTCCAGGGAGTCTGCATGATTTGATGTTGATTAGGGAACCTGGATTGATCCTGCACAAAGGTAAACTGTGCAGTGGGTTGCACAGGCAGTGGCTGATACTGCATATGAGGTTGTGTGAACAGTAGCTGATGCTGCACAGCAGGCAGCAGGAATGATGGTGGTGTGGGGAGCTGCATAGATACGAGCTGAGGCAATATGACAGGGTGCATGATGGAGCTGGGAAAATCAGATGATGTGGAAGTAGAAGCCTGGGACCTTTGAGTGGGGGGTAAGGCACTGGTGGCATGGTGTGCATTGGCAAGTAAAACTTCCTAGACAATGAATGAAGGGTAGACAGAGGACATATGAACAGGTAACATAGAACATCCAGAAAAGGAAACAGTCCAGGCACTGGACCATGTGGTGCACATGCTGTAGAGTACCTGACTGCATGCTGTCAGGGAGAAGTCCAAAGGTAGTCACATGACCCCTCAGAGAATGGTCTGCTTGGTCCAGTAGGAGAGCAACACAAGTCTGACAGCAGTCAGAGTGGAGATGGTTCGTAACTGACAGAAGTTGGGTGGAGTTGGTGTGGAGTGAGTGAATGACCAGCAGAAGAGGGTGTGGAGTGAGTAAGGACCTAGAGTGAATGAATGGTTATGACAACTTGTCATAACAGCTTTTCATGGTTTTATGATAGCCATTGGCTTGGACAGGTAACTGAGATACCAGATCATTGAAGTACCCTAGTTGAAAGACCATATGATCACCTGCCTTGGGTCAGATTTCCTCCACAAAATCAAGAAGCATCTTGACATCTGCATGGGACCATACAGCTTGCAACTTCAGCTGAGGCTCAGAGCTCAAACTGATTGATGGGGCCTTTCCTTTTGACCTAGAACCCCTACCTTCCATCTTGCTGTGAAGTTGATGTGAGCAGTGGGTTGGGGACACAGAATGGTCTGGCCTGCAATAAAGGTCAGTTTGTTGAGGTGGCATATCATATTATGCATATGTGGTAGCTGTGATTCATCACCTGATCAGTAAACACCACAGTCACAGATAGTCTGCAATTATCAACTTAGAAGTCCACTGAACTCCACACAGAGTTGGTTTGTATATGTTTTGCATAAGGAAGTGGAAATTCCACTACTGTTCAGGTCCTAAACCTTTTCCATCAGTTATAAGTGTAGTAATATTTAAATTTATTCCAGGGACCCTGACAACCAGTCATGCAGCTGGTGTAGCACAGATATTCCATAGATATTTGTAGAGGCTAGGCTGTGTACCACACTGTAATTATCAAACCTATACAAATTCTGGTATATACATGCTATGCTGGCAAAGTATACAGGCTATACCACAGCTATACCAGGCTGCCACTGCATAATCATCTTGTTATGGCAATGACCACACATAATAAATGCTCAGAAACAAATTAATTAATTCCAGTGCATTCCATACAGATGTGGTATACAGAATATCAAGCTACTACATGAACTGTTAGAGTTAGACTACCAGATGGGATGATCAATCTTGGCATATGGTGTCAAAGAGTGCAGGGTACAAAAGGGGAATAAACAGGAGGGTGGGCACAGGAGGGATGCAGAGGTTCATGTGGTGGGGACTGAAGTACTGAAGACAAAGAGGATGGGGGAGGCACCCTGGAGAGCAATGTTAACTTCAGTACATCAGTCATGGTGAGTATGTCTCACTTAACAGAAAGTTGGGCAAGGCATGCTGATGTGGACCTTGTACTATTGCACAAGTCAGTTGGGGATGAACTTCTACTGTAATGAAGTAGGTTGCATAGCTTACAACTGGAAGACACCAAGCAGAAGTAGGACTGGGGTGTGGAACATGATGAAACCTGGCACTGGTTGGGGTGAATGGCAGTACAGTATTATGGAGTCTAGTGGTGTGAGTCAAAGCGTGGAAAGCTGGTGAAAACCAAACAAATCCAACACCAAAGACAAATAATGTGCAAGTGGTGGTTTGCCTCTGCAGAACCTGGAGTGCAGAAAAATCTAGTGTGGGGAAATTTCAATGGCAGGTGCTCCTGGCACAAGTCAATAACGAGTTATGCAAGAGCAGATGAATGAGTGATGACTGGATGGGGGATGCTGAACAAAGTGAAGGTGTTCAGCTGAAAGGACTTCTGGAATGATGGACTTTAGGATGTGCTCCTGGTGCAAGTTGATGACAAGTTATGCAGGAGTGGAAGAATGACTAAGCAAAAGGTTGCTGACTAAACACTGATGATACTGCTGATGATGAATAGAGGTAGATAGACCCTTGATGGAGCCTCAACTACCAAGGATGATGGATGGTGACAGATAGACTCTTCCAAATGAGCCTCAACTGTCAATGATGAGATATGCACTGAAAGAGCTGAACTGACTTCTGGATTGCTTTTTCACTGGGGTTGTAGCTAGGTACATGGGGGTTTATATACTGTGGGGGGAGCACAGCTTGTGACAAACAAGGCACAAACACTTGGTAAGTAATGAGTAAGGACTGAGTAATCATGATGAGTAAGTGAGAAATGAAAAGTAAGCAAGCAAAGAAGATTGGTAAGTATTGGCAATGAACGAGTCAAGGAGAGTCAAAATATCACAGAATGAGTCAAATGGAGTCAGAAACTGAGTAAGTGCACTGATATCACATTAAGGGGTGGTGATGCAAGTCAGATCTCAGCAGAGACATCTCTATATCCAAAGATGGCATGACAGATGGGCAGTATTTCCAGATAGGGAAGTGTTAATTCCAGAATTGAAGGGCATGAGTCAGGCATAAAAGGGGGCTAGGGCATTGGGGGTCTGTGGGGCAATGGGAGCATATGCAATCACATCTCCCACCCTTTCATCCTCTCAGTGAAGTTAACAAAAACTTCATGAATGGGGCTCTGATGGAGGAGAAGGAGAAGGAGGGACATCTTCTGCTGAATCTTGCAGTAAGAAGGCAAGATGCATGTCACACTCATCATGGATGCAATCAGGGAGGCTGGAGAACAGTAGACTATGCTGCAGCTGTCATAATGTGGGAAGAATGATGGACAAGATTGGAATAAAGATGGTGCAGGGAGCAGGGAGGAACAATCCATATGCTTCATCAAGAGGGGAGACCAAAACGACCACATAAGACCTTTCTAACCAAGTGACAGACCTGAAGCGACCAAAGAACATCCTCTTGGAAGTCATACTGACAAGGAGAACATGCTGACCAAGCTGCATGGGATGAGATGGGGCTGACAATGATGGGATGAACCAGGGGGCTTCAGAGAGGAGGCCATGATTGATGGACTTAGCAAAATGAGTGTCTGATGGATGGAGTGCTGTAGAAATGTGTAGGGTGCAAGGATCCTCTCCAAATTTGGAAGGCAGAATTGTGTGGCTGAGCACTTTAAGTGAGAGTGAGAACAGGAGTTGATATCTTTGGAAATGGCAGAGATATGATGAAAACTGGAATGCCATACATGGGCACTAAAAACTTTTAATGCATGCTTAACTCACTTCCTCTTTTCTCTTTAGCACTGACAACTCATTCTTGTGTGAAGGATGACTGCTCACATCTGGCAGTCTTTCTATGCATGAGGCCTTTAGTCTTCATCTGCATGCATGGGCATTGCATGCAACTTGTCAACAAGTTAGGCAGAGTCAGCTGTAACCATGTCCACAACACCTTTGGTGTGTGACAGCAGTTCAATGTTGAATTCAACCAAGTGAACATGATGATCACATGATGCGTTTGTGTGCAAAAATTTCTCTAAGTCCATGAGTGTATCCACTGGGTATATGTGAGGCATATGATATATACTGGTGACAAGCATATGTACAACACACACTAGGACATTGGTTCCTTATGTGTGAATTATCTGGTACATGTACATTAGAGCATCTTGGCACGATAACTTGCTTCTAAGCTCTATTTTGTAAATTTATAATTTACTCTGTACATATCCATGGGTTATAAGCCTAACACACAGCATGTAACCTGGTAACCTTTTCTGGCACTTGCTTATGCCATATTTTTGACATTTGGCCATGTACCAGTAGTACCCACAAGAGGTGCCTCACTTTGCTCCAGCAGTGGGGATTGAAATGTAGTACACAGCATTCAAATGGAATTTATATAGGTAATGTGTGACATTGTTATATGCTAAGTAATTACAGGAGAATCTCAGGGAACATGACATTGTAGGTAATTTTCCCTCCTGGCTGGAGTAGCATGTGAGTGTGGTTGCAGTGGCAGATACATGACAGCACTGTGTACAGCTGCCCATGAGAAAAAACAGGCCTCATTAGATCAATGCCCATGGCATCCAATGTGAGGCCCTGGCAGCTGTTGAAGGTGGTAGCATAGGCAGGAGCCAAAGGAAACTGGCAGCAAAGGAGGGTGTGGCTGGAGTGGAGGGTGGAGGTGAACATGATGCAGGGAATGAGGATATCATCAGAGGCATGCTGGGAGAGCACATCATCTAGAATAATGCACAATGTGATGAGGTGATGACCTGTGCTGATGATAACAACATGGCAATTTTTCACAAGGCCCTGGTCAATGGAAAAGTTGCACATGAGGCAATAAACCCCACTGCAGCAAACTGGTAAAGCATGAGGTGGGAGGCTGGGAGGGCAATGGGATGTGACATAATCCAGCATGCATGGTGGGGGGATGATTCCCATGTCATTTGCTTCCTTGAGGGAATCAGCAGCAAGATATGTTGTTGCAGATGAGTTCAGCCATGAGAGAGCAATTGCATTGTAGGCATCAACCTGACAGTTGGTAGGACATAGGATGGCACACTTCAGACAAGCACATGGATCAGCCATAATATGGGATGGGAAAATGTGGTTGATGAGGTCTTCAGCTGTGGGCACATTCTGTAGAATGTTGAGGCAAACCTCTGGGCCTGTGCCATCACCAATGGCATCGACGAACTGGGCAAATTCAGGGTCATCAGCATTGCAGATAGGAATTGTGAACCAAAAGACAGAGATGATATCCCAGAGGGGTGATGCATGAATGGAAGCATCGACAATTTGTGACCTGGACCCACCTCAAATAACAGGGCAGGTCTGGCAAAAGTCACCAAGGAGTATAATGACCTTTCCACCAAATGGGGTGTCATGATCCATCAGCAAATGGCAAACCTCATCAACACATGTGAGAATGGCATGGTTGGCCATGGGTGCCTCATCCCAAATTATCAGAGAGGTGTTTCTGATGAACTCCCCATGAGGTGTGCCTGGTTGAACTGGAGACTGTAGCATTTTGTTGGTTTTGTTCACAGGGACCTAAGATCAAATGGTGAGTGCATATGTCCTTGCCACCACAAAAGCAACAGTATCATCAACATGGACAGAATTGTTGAAGGGGCTGTAAACTTGAAGCTGCACAGGGAAAACCACACTTGACATACCTCGTGCTGTAGTGTTGTACAAACAGTGATAGGTCTTTGATGTTGCCCCTGGCCTCAATGACTGCACCAACTGACCACCTGATAATGCAAAGAACCCAAAGACTGTCATGGTAGACATTGCCGCCATCCTGAATAAAAGTCACATCAGTCCTTTTAAGTGAGACATGCATCCACCCCAACCACAACCACCTGACACACCCACAACCAAACACCATACAACCACCAACTGAAACAGCAGTGGTGAGTCACCAACAAGCCCCAACAGGAGAGACACCAGACCAACACACCTGCACATCAAATTGCCAACAGATCAAGTTTAAGGAGTGAACACCTCCTCTGATAGCTGCCCCCTAAAACGACCCAAGTGCACTGTGCATTGGTAATGCCCCAACAGCACAGTTAGTGACATCTTACCTGCACTGCAACCCCTGTTCATGTGAGATGCAGTATAAAATGTTTGCCTCTGAGCCACAATCCCAGTGACCAATATAGTAGCTACAAACAGTGTACAATACCAAAGCCCTCCATAGATTATATAACTGTCATTTATGAGAGGATGTTTTCATGCTTAGAGGACAATGTATGAGCAATCTTTGATGATGTGCAGGAAGGAGGCATCTCCCTCTCCGAGTGGTTTTAAGCTGTCAAAACACGTCAACAACAACAGACAAGCAGCCAAACACTTGTGAACATGGAGGGCATCAACACACCCCTGATGGTGCAGACAACGAAGCAGAACCCCTCTGTGAAATGCCACAATAGATTTAATATCCTTCAATGTCAGGAAGGGGTACTGTTCCACAAACTCACACACTGAGTCTGTGCAACATACCAACAATGATTCTCTAGGGTACACAGACTCAGCAGTAAATTCCTCATGTATAGTAACATGGTCCAGCATATATTCTCATCGAATAAACTCATAGCTGATAGCAGCAACAACACTGGCACCAGCTGCATCAATACACAAGTGGCACATGCCACTGTCCATGGTTATCTGCACAACATTATCTGACATGACATGTACAAACAAAATGCAAATGCAGGAACCCCAATGCAACCAGTCCCCCCCCTCCCCCCCCCCCGAAAGGAAATCACACGTGATCAGACTTAACAGTCCAGTATGGTCATGTTGAGAATGCGATCCGGAGTTACAGTAGCATCTTGGAGTTTTGCCCAGAGGGCTTGGAATTGTTCCCCGACCCTCGGAATTAAATTCCAATGTCAATGCACTTACTAATTATGGTACTATAAATTTTCCGCACTGTTCTTTTCCACCTCAGTGACTACTTCGTACACTGAGGTGAGTATAGCTAGATTCTGCTCATTTACTTGGTACTGATGTAGTGTAGAAACTCATACCTTCGTTAGGTACTAATAAAGTGACTACTTCGTACACTGAGAAACTCATACCTTTGTTAGGTTATGAGCCCCACTCTCACGCTCTAATTCTGAAAGAGTTAATACACAGCAACAATACCCACTATGGCAAAAGACGATCATTCCTTACAAGTCCCAACCCTAAATGTGGACAGAAGCAACTGGCTATATTACAAGGCTTGGGTTGAATGGGCTGTCAGCTCAAAAGGGCTGATTGGACACCTGACTGGCTTGGATGCGAAACCAGAGGACCCTTCAGCAGGGAAAGATGCCTCCTGGAAGCCCACAGCCATGGAGCAAAAACTTGTTAGCGAATACCCAGAAAAACTCCAGCAATGGGCTAAGGACAATGGATATGTCAAGCAAGTGATCGCTGTGTCACTCCCAGAATCTCTGTTCCTTCGAGTCCTGAAGGAAGAGACTGCAAAGAGTGTGTGGGGTGTCCTCACCGACCTTTTCCAAAACTGCTCTTGTGTTGTCACTATTGATCTTCAGAGAAAACTCCAAGAATCCTGCTGTTCAGAAAAAGGCAATGTCTGCACTCACTTCGACAAGATGCACACACTGCACAAACAACTTGCCACACTTGGACAGTCAATCACAGATGATGACTTCGCAGCCATCATCCTCAGTTCACTTCCCACTTCTTACGACTCCAACCTCACAGCTACAGTGGCTCACAAAATTGTCCCAATGTTTGCATGTTTTTCATTAATCATGGTGTAGTGAGTGAACTATCATTATTGAGTCCAAGGTGTTGGTGGATGGATCAAAGCAGCTGGTCATGGCTCTCTGATGAGCCATATTACATAATATTTGGATGGAAACTGATGACAGAATATCTAAATGAAAATGAGAGCTCATTGGGACAATTATGTAACTTTGTGATATGCTGGGGATGTAGTCCCTGGGAACACATATAAAACATGGTGAGATGCTCACCAATGCTTACATAACACACCACATGGTCTACTGAATGATTTGTCAATGCACAAACAATGCCAAACAGTGATTTTGCACCACTAATCCTCCTTGCTGTAACACAAGTCAGGAAATCACCATTCTGGCTCATCAGGGACATTCTCTCAGGGCAACCTCAGCAAATTCTGGTGTACATCATAGTATAATCAATAGAATATGCTATCAGCACCATTGGTCACTTCAGAAACCTGCTGGCAGTTATCTCCTGCACTGTTTCCCCACCAATGCCACATGTGTCCTGGAATTAATCAGTACTGTGAGAGCTGGAAATGATGTGGAGGTGCAATCTGGCATTCATCCTATCATAAATAAACCAATCACCCATTAACTAGTGCATTTCTGTGATGGGGAAACTGGTTTGGAGGTGAAGCTAAACCCTCTCTCACTCCAGGTACCATGGGGAGGGATATGCTACTGAGCCACCAGGTTGCACATTCCTGGCCTTCTATCTGGCACTGGATATTCCCTTTAGTCTTATATGAGCAAATAACTCCTTCCCAGTGATCCCCAGTTCAGCTCAGAGTACAGTCTGGCCCACCCTCCCATGATACTGGGAGTGCCCAGGAGGGTTGTGCTCCACCTGAGCCTTCAGGCAGGCATTTATTCAGCTGTGATGTAGTAGTTAATGGGTGATTTGTTTGTTTATGATAGGATGAATGTCAGATTGCACCTCCACATCATTCTCAGCTCTCACAGTACTGATTAATTCCAGGACACATGTGGCATTGGTGGGGAAACAGTGCAGGAGATAACTGCCAGCAGGTTTCTGAAGTGACCAATGGTGCTGATAGCATATTCTATTGATTATACTATGATGTACACCAGAATTTGCTGAGGTTGCCCTGAGAGAATGTCCCTGATGAGCCAGAATGGTGATTTCCTGACTTGTGTTACAGCAAGGAGGATTAGTGGTGCAAAATCACTGTTTGGCATTGTTTGTGTGTTGACAAATCATTCAGTAGACCATGTGATACATTATGTAAGCATTGGTGAGCATCTCGCCATGTTATATATGTGTTCCCAAGGACTACATCCCCAGCATATCACAAAGTTACATAATTGTCCCAATGAGCTCTCCTTTTCATTTGGCTATTCTGTCATCAGTTTCCATCCAAATATTATGTAATATGGCTCATCAGAGAGCCATGAATAGCTGCTTTGATCCATCCACCAACACCTTGGACTCAATAATGATAGTTCACTCACTACACCATGATTAATGAAAAACATGCAAACATTGGGACAATTTTGTGAGCCACTGTATGACATCTTCGGCCCTAGTCATGCAAAAGGACCTATCTCCAGACTTTATAGTCAAAGTAATTTCTGATGAATATGATAGGTGCCAAACACAGATGAAGAGAGGCAACTCTGGAAACTCCAGAAATTCCGAAGATGCAGCTTACTCAGCAAAGGATGGAAAGAAATCCACTTGTGAAAACTGTGGAAAGAAAGGTCATATGAAAGACCAATGCTGGGAAGAGGGTGGCGGAAAAGCTGGGCAAGCACCCAAGTGGTTCCAGAACAAGGGGAAAGGGAAAAAGAAGGAGAAAGGTACTGGAAAAGCGGCCACTGTGGCCAGTGCATCAGCCAGCTCAAGTGCACAGACCAGCACTGACTCAGAACCTGACGGAGTTTGGCTAGCACACCCACAGGATGATGACTGGCTTATGGAAATTGCAGAGGAAGAAATTCCAAACCCCCAGGACATCACTAATGCATACATGAACAACTACAATCATGCTCTGCTCACAGGCGAAAGCCTAAATTCCACAAAAGAGACAATCCTGTTCAACTCTGGCACTTCACATCACATGTCCTCCTACCACAGCAAATTCCTTGATTACAAGCCAATTGTACCCAAACCTATCACTGCTGCTGACAACCACACCTTCCATGCCATAGGGAAAGGCAACCTTGCAATTTCACTCCCAAATGGCACTGCCCAGACCCATATTTGACTCAAGGATGTGCTCTATGCTCCCAAGATGGGAATTACACTTGTTTCCATTAGCAAACTTGATGTCGCTGGGTATGTGGCATTATTCCGAGACAAGCATTGTCAAATTTTCGACGCTCGGAAAAAGAAAGGAGCCGAAATTCCGATGCAAAAAGGTCTCTACTGTCTCAAACAAGCTCATTGTGCCTTCGCAGGCCTAGCCAAGGCCATGGAATCCCTAACCATGGAGGAGATTCACATAAGGCTTGGCCACATTGCTCCTGAAGCCATCCAGTGCATGCTCAAGGATGGAACAATCACCGGAATCACTGGAATTAAGCTGGACGAGGTGCATTCCACCATGGGTGCATGCAGTTCATGCGAGTATGCCAAAGCCACTCGGAAGCCCATTGGGAAGGAGCATGACCCACCCTGCCGTGAACATCTTGGCAATGAGGTCCACACAGATCTCTGGGGACCTTCTCCAGTCCAAACCCCTGGCCACAGCCAATACTACATGTCATTCATGGACGACCACACCCACTACACCAAGCTGTACCTCTAGAAGATGAAAGCTGAGACCTTCACATCATACAAGGCCTATGAAGCATGGCTGAACACGCAGTTTGACACCAAAGTCAAGTGACTTTGCTCAGATCATGGGGGAGAGTATCTTAGTGTGGAATTTTCAGAATATCTGAAATCCTGAGGCACAGAACGATGCATAACCATCCATGATACCCCCGAACACAATGGAGTTGCAGAATGACTCAACAGAACACTTGTTGAGCATGTACATGTGATGATTCATGCCAGCA